GAGACAGAAACTCCGTCTCTTTTCAGTCTGAGGATTTCAGAGGTAAGAGCTCTAGGGGCTGGCTGCTTCTCTGATCTTTCAGCTTTCATACCAATATCTGACTCCAGGTTTTCCTTTTATACCCCAAATTGAATGCTTTCTTTTATAAGTTGCCTTGGTCATGGTGTCTCTTTATACCAATACAATAAGACAATGAAGAAGCGAAATATTCCACATGAAATCCTAGCAGAACTGAAACCTTTTCCCTCCAAGTTTAGTAGTTTAGTAGGTACAAATGTATCTGCCTTTCAAACTGATCCACAGCTAACAAGTAAGCTAGAACTTTAAGCATTCATCTTATTTTTCCATTAGCTATGCAATCTTATATTTATGCATTCCCAAAGATTTAAACATAAACTCTAATGCTCTCATTATTATAAAATCAGATTTATTTTACTAAATATGATCACGTTCATATATTACATAGTGTACATTAGCCAAGGAAGTAAAAATTGTATCATTTTACTCTAAAAAGTATCCAGGCATAGGTGATAATGGCTTAGCAAGTAAAATGCCTGCCATGAAAAGCTGGCCCCTGAATTCAATCTCAGGAACCCACATACAGGTAGAAAAGACTTCACAAAATTGTCTCCTCACTTCCACATGCAAGCTATGAAATACATGCACTTGCCCCTCCCCCTCATACACACACCTACAACATCATAATGAAATTTAAAAGTTAAGACTTATGATCCAAAACAAATGAGCAAATACACAATAATGTCCCATGTCTATAATCTCAATATTTGGACAGCAGCTCAAGGTCATCCTTAAATACAATCAAGTTACATATGGTGTTATATTTTTTATTATTTATTAAAGCCTGCCTGAGGATTCAGAAAGCAAATTCAGCCACAAGCCACAGAAGCCAGAAACACACCTTTAATCCTAGGACTCAGGATTAAGAGGTAGATGGATCTCTCTGAGTTCAAGGCCACCCAGGGATACACAAGATTGAATCAGTCTAAAATAATAACAGAGCTCACGCTTTTAACTCCAGCACTAAAGAGGTATAAAAGATAGGAGCAGGGTCTTCAGTAGTCAGTGCCAGGCATTCATTCTCCAGCCACTTTGAGGACAGGAAGACACTAAAGTCTCAGGATTCTCCAGCCATGCTGAGGAGAGGCAGCAGGATCAGCCCTTTCAGCCTGAGATAGTGGTAAGAGCTAGTGGCTGGCTACTTTACTTTTATTGCTTTTATGTTCTTCAGCTTGAAGTATGAACTCCAATATCAGTCTATGGGTCTTCTACTTTATCGTATTACAGTTACATATCAAGTCCAAGACCAATCTGAGCTACATGAGACACTATCTCAAAACCCAAATGAGAGACCTTAAGGCAGCCCAAACCATCCAGCATGTCACCATTGGAGCCTTGGCCTCGCATCCACCAGGAGAGGTGAGCGCCAGGCCTTCTTTGTCCCCCTCATTGGAGGCCCTTGACCAGGGCATGTAGCCCAGTCTTGCCCACTGAATCCCCAGAAACCTGAGGGCAGCCCAAAGCTGATGGTTTCAGTGCAGAATTCTACCAGAAATTCAAAGAATACTCCTCAAAGTGTTCCACACAATAGAAGCAGAAGGGTCATTGCCAAACTCTTTTTATGAGTCTACAATTGCCTTGGTACCCAAGCCACACAAAGACACAACCAAGAAAGAGAACTACAGACCAATCTCTCTCATGAACATTGATGCAGAATAACTCAACAAATATACTGGCAAATGGAATCAAAGAAAACATCAGAAAAATCATCCACCATGATCAAGTCGGCTTCATCCCAAAGATGAAGGGATGATTCAACATACAAAAATCTGTCAATGTAAACCCACCATATAAACAAACTGAGAAAGAAAAACCACATAATCATCTCACTAGATGCTGAGAAAGCCTTCAATAAAAACCAACAACCCCTTCATGATAAAGGTCTTGGAGAGATTGGGGATAAAAGTAACATACCTAAATATAACAAAGGCAATATACAGCAAACCAACAGACAAATATCAAACTAAATGGAGAGAAACTCAATGGAATCTCTAAAATCAGTAACAAGACAAGGCTGTCCACTCTCTCCATATCTTTTCAATATTGTACTTGAAGTTCTAGCTAGAGTAACAAAAAGGAGATCCAGGGGATATGAATTGGAAAGGAAGAAGTCAAACTCTCACTATTTGCAGATGATATAATAGTTTACATAAGTGACCCGAAAAATTTTACCAGGGAACTCCTACAGCTGATAAACACCTTCAATAAAGCCGCAGAATATAAGATTAACTAAAAACAAAACAAACAAACAAAAAAAATCAGTAGCCCTATTATATAGAGATGATATAAATGGGCTGAGAAAGAAATCAGAGAAACATAACCCTTTACAATAGCCACAAACAACATAAAATATCTTGGGGTAACTCTAATCAAACAAGTGAAAGAGCTGTATGACAAGAACTTTAAGGTTTTAAAGAAAGAAATTAAAGAAGATTACAGAAAATGGAAAAATCTCCCATGCTCTTGGGTAGATCAACATGGCAATCCTACCAAAAGCAATTGACAGAATCAATGCAATTCCCATCAAAATTCCAGCACAATTCTTTACAGACTTTGAAAGAACAATACTCATATGGAAAAACAAAAAACCCAGGATAGCCAAAACAACCCTGTACAATAAAGGGACTTCTGGAGGTATCACCATCCCTGACTTCAAGCTCTAGCTATGGTAATGAAGACAGCTTGGTATCAGTTCAACTATGTTCGTAGCAGCACTATTTGTAATAGCAAGAACCTGGAAGCAACCTAGATGTCTCAAACCAAAGAATGGATAAAGAAAATGTGGTACATTTACACAATGGAGTACTACTCAGCAGAAAAAAAAAAAAAAAAATGACATCTTGAAATCTGAAGGCAAATGGATGGAATCAGAAGAAAGCATCCTGAGTTAGGTAACCCAGACACAGAAAAAAAAAAAAAAAAAAAAAAAAAAACAAAACAAAATTAAAAAAAAAACAAAAAACAAAAAAACAAAATCATAGTATATAATCATTCACAAGTGGATTTTAGATTTAGAGCAAAAGATAACCAGCCTATAACCCACAACCCCAGAGAAGCTAGAAAACAAGAAAGGCATATATGGACCCCACCCCCACCTCCAGAAGGGGAAAGGGAAAGAGGAGGGAGAATGGAAGTGGGGAGGAGAACATGAGGGATCAGGAAAGTTGAGTTGGGGGAAGAACAGAGAAGGACAGCAAGGAAAGATACCTTAATAGAGGGAGTCGTTATGGGCTTAAAGAGAAATCTGGCACTGGAGAAATCTTCAGGGACTCATAAGGATGACCCCAACTAAGGGGGAAGGCTACCTTAAATGCCCTTCTCCTATGAGATTGATAACTACCTTAAATGCCATCCTGGACCCTTCATCCAGTAGCTGATGGAAGCAGAAGCAGAAATCCACAGCTAAGCACTAAGCTGAACTCCTGAAATCCAGTTGAAGAAGGGGAGAAGTGATGAGCAAAGGGATCAAGACCATGTTGGGGAAACCCACAGGAACAGCTGACCTGAGCAAGTAGGAGCCCACAGACTCCAGACTGTCAGCTGGGGAGCCTGTATAAGATTGAAGTAGGCTCCCTAAACGTTGGTGTCAGTTGGGAGGCCAGGGCAGTCTATGGGGCCTCTGGCAGTGGAACCAGTATTTATCCCTAGTACATGAATGGGCTTTGGGTGCCCATTCCCTATGGAGGGATACTTTGCTCAGTCTAGATACAAGGAGGAGGGCCTAGGTCCTGCCCCAAATGATGTACAGACTTTGATGATTCCCCCATGGGAGGCCTCATCCTCCCTGAGGAGTGGATAGGGGATGGGATGGGAGGTTGGTGGGGGAATGGGAGGATGGGAGGGAGGGGGAACTGGGATTGGTATGTAAAATAAGATTGTTTTTAATTTAAATAAAATTTAATTATAAAAAAACCTAACCAATCAATCACTTACCACACTGCCATCAATAAGAAATCTACAATCCAATAAAACAAAGCAAAAAACCAAACCAACCAAAACAAAACAAAAATTATGAGTCGGAAAATACAAACAATATATGTCATAAAGTATATTTAAATTTGTTATAGAACAAGATATGTCAAAATTTAATTTTTAAACTTTAGACTAAAACTGTTTCACAGCTTTCAATATCAAATTTATGAAAGATATTAAGCCACTATAAAAAGAATGGTTTTATTTATTTATTTAATTTTTAGCCTTTAGAATAACCACAGAAAATGGGTTAGGGAGATGGCTCAGTTGGTAAACTACTTGCAAGCAAGAAAACTTGCATTTGACTCTCAAACCCAAATCTCAATGATGGACACTGTAATCCTAGCCCTGGGTAGGCAGATATAGGAAGAATCCCAGATCTAGCCTAATTGCTAAGCATTATGTCAATGAACATCTTATCTGGTGACTTCCTCTTAGGGATCCCATACCCACACTTTCCTACTTCTGAGCAACTTTTCCCCCATCTAGTCCTGGTGCTTAAGCCTATATTAAACTTATCTTTAATAAAAATCTCCAACTCTACTTCATTAAATAGGGAGTACTTGGGGGGGGGAGAAAAGAAAAGAGAATAAGGACCCCATGTTTCAAAGAAGTGGTGGCCTTCTAAGGAAGAAACCTTGAGGATATCCTCTGGTCTCAACCTGCCTGTACATGTTCACACAGATGAACCTTATATAACTCTCTCTCTCTCTCTCTCTCTCTCTCTCTCTCTCTCTCTCTCTCTCTCTCTCTCTCCCCCATAAGCATATACAAATAATAACCACAGAAGATACTATCTTGCATTGTAAACTTCCTATTCATCTGTTAATGTTCTTTTAACAATATTTTAAAAATTAGCCTGTACCCATATCTTTTGTCTGTACATTAAACTTTAAACATGTAGAGATAGCTTCAAATCTTCAACCAGCTTTTCAGGTAATACTTCTAACCTGAGTAAGTTTGTCCAGTTCCCCAAGCCAGGCTCCAAACATTTTATCCAGGTCCTGATCTTCCTTGTCACTGTCTTCTTCCGCACCATGGTCAATTTCTTCATCTGATAATTGCTCCATCTAAAACACAGGCATTTGTGTTGAATGAACAATTACAAACTTAACTTAAAAATTATTCAGTACAAGTCTGATATATGATATTACTCTCTGAAATCAAATCTTCTAAATTAGATTATAACAAAAGAAAATAGAAATGATTAGTGAAGATAATGTTGACAAGTAGAATGAGGAAGGAAGTCCCAGTTCTTTAAGGAACATAAAAGCCTGGGAGGTCAGTTCCCTACAGAAAGGGGAATATGATTGGATTCACAAACAACAATTTCAAAAATAGAGTACTCCTTCCAGCTACCATAGAGTGTAACAACAGTGTCATTCTCTCTGCTGAATTGCTCTGTAATACTCCAAAAATGAAGACTTCATCAGAATTCCATAAATACTAGGCTATGTATTTTGTAGACTATATTAAGATTTCACTTACATTTCCCGATCTATTATTACATGAAGGACAACTCTGTTCAGAAACACTGAACAGACTGTACCTCAAATCATGTACCAACATGCAGTTACTGAAGACATAATAAAGTTCAAAGTCACTGGCAGGTAAACAAAGCTCTGAAAAATTCTAGCCTTTGGGGACCTCCTGTTACCATTTCCTGCGCCCTCCCTCACTCCTCCAGTTTTCTAGACTCAACTATCTTGCATGCTGGGAGATACAGACTTGCTCCAACCTCCAGCCTTTTCAATGTCAACTCTCCTACCTGGAACTCTTCCCTCCAGTTATGTGTGAGTTTGTGGCCTTTCTTCATTAAGGTCTCACCTAAGCCCATTAAAATAGCATTCCACCCTTATTATATTCTGTCCCCTGTATGGTTTTCGTTTTCTTCATAGAGCTTGTTTTTTGAGTGGTAGGGCAGTTTCTCTCTGTAGTGCTAGCTGTCCTAAAATTCTATGTAAGTCAGACTGGCCTTGAACTAACAGAGATCTGCCAACCTCTGCTTTCCTAGCACTAGGATTAAAGGTGAGCACGACCATTACTCAGTTTCTTTATCCATCTTTCTTTTTTCTCCTTCCTTTTTTATTACAATCCAACCACTATTTTCCGTCTTTCCTCTCCTTCCAGTACCTCTCCCATTACCTTCCCCTTGCTACTCCCATCCACTCCTCCATTTCTATTCAGAGAAAGGCAGGCCTCCCATGGATATCAACCGAACATGGCATGGCATATCAAGTTGAAGGCTGGACAAGGCAACCCACCATTATAGGAATAACAGTACCAGAAGCAGGCACAAGAATCAGGGACAGACCCAGTTCCCACTGTTAGGAGTCCCACAAGAAGACTAAGTTACACAACTGTTACATATATGCAGAAGGCCTAGGTCAGTCTCATGCAGGTTCTCTGGTTTGTTAGTTCAGGCTGTGAGCCCTTATAATCTCAGATCTGTGGGTTTTCTTGTGGTGTCTTCATAGTATTTTTAACCACAGTCATATTTATCCTTTCTCTTCTTAGGGAAGGAAAGATCCTTAGAGTTCATTTCCTTCTGTATTTACATACTTTGAGAGGCTGGCACTTGGGTCACAGTTGTATCATTAAGTATATGTTTAATAAGTGAGTATTTAAACACACAATTTTTAAAAAGACCCTAAGAACTTCTTTTTAAAAGATCCCTAAGAACTTAAGACCAAAGCATATAAAATAAATATTATTACACAAACAATAAAGGACCAAAATAAATACTGAGTACTAGTCCTTCAGAACCAGGTAGGTGACTCATAAAGAACTCCTTATTTAACTCAACTCCTGGGTCTCAGGAGTTGAGACCCAGATTCCATATTCAGCTGCTCACAGCTGTTTATAACTCCAGTTCCAAGGAATCTGATGCCCTCTTCTGGTTTCCACATACACTGCATATACACAGTCCACAAGCATATGCTTAGGACTTCCTAAGTTTTGGGATTTACAGATGTGTACATTGGAATTTATGGGGTGCTGGGGATGAAACCAAGGACTTCATGCATGCTAGGCAAGCACTATACCAAATGAACTACATTGCCAGCTAACATTATACTAATTGTTTAAGACCAGATTCAATTGTAAATGAAGAAAATCGGGCTAAGAAAAATTAAGTAACTTTTCCCAAGCTTATTAATGGTAAATAACAGCATAAAAATGTGTATGTCTTATTTACTATATTAGTGGTTTTTGAACTGACTATTGTAGCTCTCATATGCTAGGCACTATACTAAGAACAATGACATAAGGTCAGCTAAAATCCATTTCCTACTGGATCCCTTATTCTACAGGCATGAGGAATGTAAAGTTAGAGGACAACTTGTGGAAATTGTTTCTCTCTTCCCAACATATGGGTACCAGAGATCAAACTCAGGTTGTCCAGCTTAGTGGCAAGCACCCTTATCTGATGAATCATCTTGCCAGTCCCATCAAGGCTTAAAAATAAAGAAACAAACAGACTAGTAATATAACATTGTTATTCTAGGCAGTAAATAATTGTGCTCAATTATTAAAGGTCAAAGATTATAGTATATATACAGTAAACTCAACTGCACCCAATGTAACCATCTATTATGTATATTTTAGTATGAAACAATATTATTCCTGCTAAGTTTTCCATGAAACTAATTATTCGTGCCCATTTCCCCTATTAACCTTCTATTTTAGAGAATTTCTTACTCAATTTCTTCTTTGAGGGAGGAAGAAATTACAATTATCCAGAAGGGTGGGCTTCTTAGGGCTTAGGAATCTGGTTAAGTATATTCTAGATAGGGTAAGTGGGGTGAGAGTGAGCAAGGGGAAGGAAAGAGGAAGGATGAATGAGAATGTCTTAGGGCTGACTCAAATACAAGAGGGCAGAGAAAAACTTACAAGAGGACTAAGGCAGGCTCTGGTCTTACAGGTCCTTGGAAGCTAAGCTTGTATGTCATTCCTCCCACCCACAACTCCCTTGAAGGCAACTTCATTCTTACCGTGATAATGAAAGGGGGGAAAGGGACAGAAGTGTTTTCTTATTCGGAGGACAGAGTGACTGTATAAAGAAGGGAAAGACTGATGGGGATGTCCTTCTGTATGCTGTGAATATAGGTTTCTCTTATTGGTTGATGAATAAAGCTGTTTCTGCCAATGGACAGGCAGGGTGTAGCCAGGCAGGAAGTATAGGCAGGGCTACCAGACTAGGAGAGTGCTGGTAAGAGGAACACAGAGGGTGAGTCTCTAGCAAGACGCCATGTAGTTGCCAAGGAAGAAAAAGGCCCAGGCATCACCGGTAAGCCAAGATCACATGGAGATACACAGATTAATAGAAATGGGTTAATAATCAAGAGAGCTAGCCAATAAGGGACCTGAACCATCAACCAAACAGTTTACAATTAATATAAGACTGTGTTTATTTGGAACTGAAAGGTGGCAGGAGCAGGCTGTCCATCTTCAAAAGACCACTGGAAAGGTAGGTATTCTAAATACTAAGTAGAGATAATTATATCTAAGGAAATTGAAGATCTAAGAGGAATCATAACTTACACAAGTCTTATGAAGTCATGAGAAAAACTCATGATACATAGTCAGGGTATTTTACTCATTATAGAGGTTGTTTTTTGTTTGTTTTGTTTTTTTAATGCTTTTAACAAAATAATGTATTCTATATTTAAAACCACATTAAAAATCTGAGAAAGCTTTCAGGTTTTGGTTCATAAGAGGCAACAGTTTATCTGACAGCAGTCTCCAGTTCGACCTTAATGAGATCCAACTCCTGTACCTGAGGTACATGGGAAGGTCAGACCCATACCTGTGTTGCCCAAAGTTCAGTTCAGTGGGTCTGTCTTCAAAAAGTTGATGATGACATTGCAACCAGTGATTGCAAAGGTTTTGGGATTACAGTGAAACTGACCATTCAGAATAGAGAGGCCTAGACTGAGGCTGTACCTCTTACCCTGATTATCAAAATTCTCAAGGACCCACAGAGACCGAAAGCATCAGAAAAACATTAAGCACAGAGAAACTATCACATCTGATGGGACTGCCAGCATTCCCTGCCTGATGTGTCCCAGTCATGGGCAGAAATCTTTCTGGAACTATAAAGGAGATCCTCTGTACTGCAGTATGTAAGCTGGAATGTATATGGCTGCTGCCCTCATGATATCAGAGATGGCATAACTAATGATGCAGTAGAATGCCCAGCTGGTTAAAAAGCAACAAGGAAAAGTATTTTCATAAAATAATCACGACTAAACAAAACAAACAGCAAAAACCAAAACAAAACTAAAACCAAAAACCCAAATCCCAGAAAACCCCAGAGTGGGGTTACCCATATTCTTCTGGGTCTAATGTGTTCAATGTGCCAAAATTGCACAAGAAGCCTCTACTTCATTTAATATTTATGGTATATTTTCTATGTATCAGACACCAGAAAAACAGATGGACCCAATGATATTTAATTTCAAGTTATATATATCTAGTGTGTGTGAGTGGTGGGGTGGTGGTAAAGAAACCAGCAATAGCCAGGCCTTGGTGGCACACACCTTTAGTCCCAGTACTCGGGAGGCAGAGGCAGGTGGATCTCTATCATTTCGAGGCCAGCCTGATCTATAGAGCTAGTTCCTAGACATGTTCCAAAACAATACAAAGAAGCCCTGTCTTGAAAAAAACAAAACAAAACAAACAACAACAACAAAAAAAGCCAGCAATAATAAAATAGGAAGTGCTATATACCTGAGTAAGTATAATTTAACTCAGTTGGAGAAGGCAAGAGGAAAGGGATGATATTTCAGTGAGACGGGAAGACAATGGACAAGGGAAAGACAGATAAGGATGTTTTTTTAGGCAAAGGAAATCACCATGTGTACATTTTAGACATAGAGCAAAGGATCACCAGCCTACAATTCACACTGCCAGAGAAGCTAGGATACAAGTAGAACCCTAAGAGAGACATATATACAAGGTCCCCCACAGAATGGGAAAGGGACAAGACCTCCTGAGCATATTGGGTGGGGGGCGGCAGTGAGAGGACAGGGAGTTAGGAGAAAGAGAAGGGGAGAAGAGGAGGATAGAG